TTATAGTCTTTTTACTCTGGAAACAAATGCAAGATTCTGCCTTTTCCTAAGGAAACTGTTTTGAAATTGAATAGTTGGCCTTCGCCTAAGCACTATAAATGTTGTTAAATGGCTATTCCTCCATGACTTGGCTTTTCTAGTTCTGAAATCTTCTCAATGCAGTATGTATGAGAGCAAAGGAAAAGTTTGATCAGATTAAATGGAAGTTATAACATAAGGTCTAAGTTTCTCATAGTGAACTCAGTTTTCTTCTTAAACTCAAAACACATACTGGATCAGCATAGCAAAATTCTCACTTAATATTTGATCATGCAAAATAAAGCTTCAAATGAAATTACAGTTTTTCTCTAGGTCTTCACAAATCCTTTGAAAAGAGAAACTGAATATTTAAATGCAACTTGAATAAGTCTTGATTTTTTTTTATTTTTTTTTTTCCCTTGCTGTAGCAAGAGAAAACTATTTGCAATCTTTCCTTTGAAGGTCTGGCTTTTTCCTGGAACCATTCCTTATAAAAGTATGCTGCTGGTAGTGTTAGGCTTGTCATACATTTGATGACTCTTACTTGACTTGGCATGTAATTTTTTTGGTCCTCAACATATATTTTAAAGTTAATAAAGTTACTGGTTATGTCTATAAGGTATGTTTTATAACCTAGTTTACCATTTTATTCAAATTAATCCTTTCTGATGTGTTCTAGAATGAGAGACTACAGGCACTGCTGGGAGACAATGAAAAGATGAATTTGTCAGATGTAGAGCTTATCCCATTGCCTTTAGAACCCCAGGTGAAAATTCGAGGAATAATCCCAGAAACAGCTACATTGTTTAAGGTAATGAATGGATCTTTACTGTATAAAATTGGAACCTAATGCTTTAAAGCTGGAACAGGTACAGTGCCTTGGAAAAATACTACATTGCAGGAGATATTTATAATTTTATTTAAGTCATAAATGCTACGTAGAAAGATTCCTTCATTGTTTTGATCATAAGATTTTCTTGTGTTTCCATTGTTGTTAAGTGCCGTCGAGTTGGGTCAGACTCATAGTGACCCTGTATAGGGTCCGAGAAGTGGCTGGTGAGCTTGAACCTCTGACCTTGCAATTCAAACCGACTTTGAGTCCACCACATTAACCCACAGTGCCACACCAGGACTCTGGTGTTACTTGGGCTTTTTTGCATGAGATAATGTAAACTATTTTTGTTTCCTGGGTTGTGTTTTT